TTAACACCATAGGTAGGAGTCATGACAACATAATAATAGGAATCATCTTCATTTTCTCATACACTTACGGGATGCAGAGAGTGCTAGATCCTGATACTTGCTGATTAACCACTTCAGTGTTGCGTGAGGAGAAAATGAGTTGTTCCATGCTTCTGTTAAGATTTATTTTGCTTTTCAATATAAAATTATTAAATAACACTATGTAAGAAAAAATAAGCAGTACTCATTACATCAGATCAATCTGTTAAGGTTTCCACTGATTTTGTTTACACTACAACTTAAAATACAATAGAAACCAGCTCCCTTCCAACTGAAATAAATAGAAAACCACATTCACCACTCTTTTTAAAATGTTTTTCATATTCTCCTTTTGGATGTTTAGAGGCTCAGAGCATATTTGATAAGAAAAACCTCTGTGCTCTTACGCATTTATCAGTTACTGTCTTACAAAAGTAATTTTGCCATTGGCCTTCATTTTATCCTGTTCTGTCAGTGATCTGTTATTTTGATTGGATTATTCTTCTCTACAGTTCTTCAAATAGAAAATTGTAACTTTTTAAAACTCAGTGTGCTTTCTTAATATCAAGTTGTGCACAAATAACATTACTGGTTCTTTTTCAAGTTGGATAATGCACACATGGCCAAAATGTTCTGCTACTAATAAGCACTGTGCCAAACATCCAGGTGACATATTAAGAAGCTTAAGAAAGGCTGTCCAATAGAGTCATTTAAGCTGACTGCCTTTTGTTTCCTCATTTCCTACATCTAGGACTGCATATAAAGTGTGCACTAAAGGAAATTACAGAATAAAGGAGGATGTCTCTATAACTACAATGGATATAATACGCAAATATGCATACTGACCTTTATCCTCAAAATATGAGGCAACCACATGTAAAAACACACATACACACTGTCAGTAATCTTAATCAGATTCCTGTGGTGTATAAATGAACACCACAAAATAAAATGGTAAAGAAAAGGACAGTATTATTGCATCATATTAAAACCGTAGCAGGAAAAAAAAATAGGTCCATAATATTTATTTTTAAATTTTAAACTATATACCACTTTGTTATGTAAATCAGAGTGGCATGGACATCTGCAGGGCTTGCTGCTTTCATCCAAAAGATGCAACATCACACTGTGTGTACAATGCAGATACAAAAGAGGCAGGGCTTGCATTGCGAGACTTCTGCTTCCCCCTGTTCCCCCACCCTGATGGCTGCAGTTCAGGGACACATTGAAATAACAGGATACAGCGTGAGTGGCTATACTTTTCAAACCTGAGATGACTTTAAAAATGTGTTGATATCCTGGATGATGTTATCAGGGCTTGGGTTAAACAAGACAAAGAGGATTGCACACTCCTTTTCCTCTAATCAAGGCAATTCATACTACATCAATCCCAAAACCAGATGAAAATCCAAGTGCACAGTGAGTTTAAAAAGTTGATTTCTCCAGCTTTAATGCCAAACTCTGTCCTAAATGTTTCACCAAAAAGGGGATATGGGCAAATGGTTGATAGTTATCTAGTACTTTATTCATTATTTTGAATGTCTGAATAAACTGTTGGTGAGGAAGAACATCAGGAGCTAAGTAGACCTGTGTTGGGTTGTCACTATTAGAGTCGTCTTTCTTGTGGTGATCTACCTCACCTATTTGGTGAATGGGTCTAGAGAAAGTTTACATGTTTTAATGTTAGGGTCTGGGAAGCTACATTTAGAAAGACAAATCTGGCTTGAAAAGAAACCAGTAGTTTGAATTAAGTCCATACATGTGATGGCACACAATACACATATCACACCATCAGGATAAAATGAATTTATCATGCAGGCCTTGTTATCAGTTCAGCTGCTCTATTTTCAAACTGTTTTCAGAGTTTTCAAATCAATCTCAAAGACTGTTTCCAATAATTTTCAATTAGGGAGTGCTCTTCTAGTTTTCACCTTTAGAGGGAGAGAATATTTGAAGAGCAACATTTACAACAAACATGAAAATTTTCAGATTGACATGAGTGGAATTGCATGAAAACAGCTACACTTGTGTAATCACTTTAAAAACTCGGCAGTAAATCAGCATTGGTTTGCCAGTGTGTGTAGATTCATTTCTGAAATTACTGGACATGTACAGAGAGAAGTTTGCTTTTCTATGTTAATACTTGGTATGTATAGCAGTATGTGACATATTGTTGATTCAATTACAGAACTTTTCCTACAGCTTTCTATAACTGCAAAATAACTTTGCCATGTAATATGAAACAGTAAGTGGGACAATGCAGTGTAGATTCCTGTAAACTATTCTGTTTGCTTTGTAATTATTTTGTTACAATAGAAATAATAGT